GCGACCCCCCATGTAATAACCTCGTGACCCCCTAAGGGGTCCCGACCCCCAGTTTGAGAACCACTGATGTAACCTCATTTTAGGAGTTCAATGGACTTTACAAACACTAATGGATTATTCTTGCTCTGCACTGAGCAGGGTGAACATGCTTACATCCATTTCCCTGAGGGTGAAATTAAGGTGGAAGCAATAACCAACAGCCAGCTGTGGTAACAGAAGCAGAACTGGGATTAGAACCTGGCATCCTGATTGCGTGCTCTGCTTTAACCACGGTACATCCCTTCCTCTCAAATCTGGGCATAAAATGTGCTCTAACAATTAGCTTCCACTCCTCTTCCAGACCTGGGAATGGAACCCCACAGGCCCCCCCCACCCCACTCCTGAAAACCAACCCACTTTTATCACCTGAAATGCAACAGTAACTCTGCCACAGCTACATACAGCCCAGCAATTACTTTAGTACAAGTCAAACTTCTAATTTTGCTCTCCAAATTCTGGTTGGTCCTTTGTCCCTCTCCTTCCCTGGGTGAGATAAATACTGCTCCTTCCTGCTTATCTTCCCCACACCTCATCCCAAAAGAAATTACATTTCAAAGTGATTCCCTCCCCCACAAAGATTCAATGCTGTGGGAAAGAGGATTCAGTAGGGATGTCTTTGCCATAATAAGAAACTAGACAGAGAAAGAGGTACAGCTCCAGATGTCCTCCCCGCTTCAAAAAAACAAACCAAACCTCCCACTTTCTTTATATCTTTGTGATTTGGGCACAACTTCCATTAAAATTAAAGGAAGATGAGTGCACAACAGGGTGCTATCTGAGTTGGGTCACCTAGGCACTGCTGTGATCCAGGTAATTATGTATCTAAATCCCCTAGGTTGTCTTTGAAAATCTCAACTCAGGCCTCCCCTCTCAGCTAATACACTGGCAACTGAACACGGGCCTGGATCTCCAGAGCCCACAGCATGAGCTGCTACAATTTAAGCTAAAAAAACCAACTTGTGGCTGTCACAGACTCACATATTCTCCTGATTGGCCCAGATGGTGACACTTGGCACACACTCGCTAGGGTGTTACACATGCAGGGAAAAGGCTGTGAGTTCTGTGCTGTGAATTTTTCTACGTGGCCAGAGGGCAGCACAGAAACCACACGCACACGCACACAAAGAGAACCAGCAGCTATAGCGTCCTGTGAGAATTTCACTTCAATTTAAAAAAATAAAATTAATTTTCTAGTCCCTGTGGATACAAAGAGCTTGAAAATAAGACCTATTTCCTCCCTAAAGGCTCAGAAACCAAACAGCAAAGAACACCTCTTGGCTGAATTCAATTTTCATTTATGTTTTATAATTTTGACAGATAATATGGATGTTTATTTTTAAGCTTCTATATTTTTATCAATTTAAATGTTCACAGTTGCATGAAGTTATGGGTTTTAAGCATTTATTTTATTGATTTAAATTTTCAATTATGGGAAATTCAGGGGGGAGGGAGGTCAGACAATTGTTTACGGCCAGTAGACATTGAAGGTTAAAACACACACTGTGAACACCACATATCAAAATGTACAAAGTCAATGGCCATAAATCAAACCCTAGTAAGTTCTCTGGCAGCATTTTTCTTACTGTGCCTCTCTGTAAATGTCAATGATCGTCGCCATAAATAGTTTGTCAGTTTGCCTGGGTACAGCGAACCTACATACACTGATACAAATCAAATCCTTCCAAGCCTAGTCTAGCACAGGTCTAGTTCTACATAAGGCTCAATTATTTAATAGGGTCAGTTTTTGATTAACACCCCCTCCTCCCCCCAACACATGGTTTAATTCCAAGCCCTGATTTCTCCCCGCCTGGTGCTTTTTCTCCAAGAAAGGCGCGGGGGCGGGGGGTGTCTACAGCAGGAGGAAGCACAGACACGATGGTGGCGATTGTTTGGGAAATGCCCCCCACCCCCTCCGAGCTGGGAGTTGGCTCCTCCCCAGCCGCGGCAGCATTTTAAGTGCGGAGCAGCCCGAGCCCGCCGGGGGCGCAGAGCCCGCACAGGGGAGAGAGCAGCAGAAGGCGCCGCCAGTCACCGGCTAGTTCGGTCCTTGTTCTCCGGTCCCCACACGGCGCTGTTCGTTACTCTCCGTACGCAGCTCTCAGCAGCCCACACCCCAGAGCTGGGCACCCCCTGCTCTACCACAGCGGTTTCAAATGACAGCCTTTTTCATGTGCAGACCCCTAGCCCATTTCAAAGGGAGCTGCAAACCCCCTTGGAAATCTCAGACCCAGTCTGCGACCCACAGCCCCCCTCCCATGTGTCTCTCCCCCCCAGCTCCTACACCTCCCCCTACTCCCCATTTCCCCTACACCCCAAGACGGGTCTCTGCCAGCCCTCTCTCCCCCCAGGTGTATCTGGGGGGTCTCCTTGCCCCCTTCTTTCCCCCATTCCCGCGCCCCCAATATCCCCCTGCCCTTGGGTGTCACTGGGGCTCTACCAGCCCCGTCTCTGGGGCCGGGTCTCTCCCCTCAGACCCGCGCCCCCCTGCCCCGGCCCGGGGTAACAGACACTCACCGGGAAGGGACAGCAGGAAACGCTGGAACTCACACAGACGCGCCACCAAAAAGCTAAAGCAGCCAAGGACCTCCGGCGCAGTCACCAGGCACAAAGGAGGTTGGGGAGCGAGCGAGCCAATTGCAGACACAGCGGGCGTGGTGCCAGGACATGTACACACCGCAGCGAGCACCATGGGACTCCGAGGCCCCCATTGCACACGGCGCAGGACAGGGGGAGGGGAGGTAACCGAGCGCTTTTAGCAACCTAGCCCCGCCCGACTTGTTTGTGAGTCACACAAATTCCTTCCCGATTGGCTGTGGCCGCCCTGCGCGCTCTGATCCGCCCACAGCTGCTCGGGTGTTTCTTGTGCTGCTTCCTGCAACCACGTCCAACTTCTCCAGGCCCGGCCGCACACAGCGTTTTACCCCTGACATTGCACCGTGTGTCGGCTCTCCTGCCACACAAACCCCCGACCCCCAGCGGCTGCCTGCAAAGCTCTCACTGGTCACACCAGCGCTTGTCCTCGGCAAAACTTTTGTCTTGTGGGGGTGTTGTTTTAACACCTGTGAAAGACAAAAGTTGTATCTTCCAGTTGCCAGTGTAGACATAGCCGGTGTGAACAGCGCTGCTGGCAAAGCTAACCTCGCTCGGTGGGGATAGAAGTTTTTTTGTGGGCAGGAGAGACGACAAACAGCGGCTACGCTGTCGCTGCAGGAGGGACGACACAAGGTACAGGGCAGCCGGGGAGAATCAGGCCCATGGAGCATCAGGAATAAATGGGGCCTTTCGCTTCCATTGGGGTCGGCGTTACACGCCTGCTGCTGAAAGGCAACTGTCGGAACCGGGACAGGCCAAACTGGACCGGTCAAATGTGGGTCACAGAGGCCTGAATCTCTCCTCTCCCTCCAATCCCCCCACCCCCACCTCTGCCTCCCTGGGTGGCAAAGGTCACAGAACTGCCCAGATTCTCTGCCTGGGAAGCTCAGCCCTTAAAGGCATTATCCTCAATGCCACAGGAGGAACGGGGAGAGATCTCGTCTCCACAGCTCTGTGCCAGTGACTGTGAACAGTGCCAGTGACTCAGTAATTGCAATGAGGCTCTGACTTTCCCCTGCTCTAGGCACTGCACCAATTATGCTGACATTAAATCTCACCAAATGAGGGTCAAGCCATCCTCATCATCATATCCACTCATTATACTCCACACCCGAACACAACCACTTCATACCCTCATATCTCAATGTCTGTACTTCGACGCATCAACCTTTTACCCCCAATCAGGGATATTGCTGATTATCGAGGGTGCAAAGTTTGGCTTAAGATCAAGTGGCATGAGGAATAGATAATCTGTATTTTATTCCCTAATAACCAGAAACTTCTATGCTCAAACTCTGTTCACTACTTTTTTTTTAACATCACCTTAATAAAATTTTTAAATCTGTTTTTTCCTCCTAAATGGCAGGAAGCCAAAGCAGCTCGGTACAAACCCACCTGGAAGTGAGTCCTTCCTGTGTCACTTGCACTGCAGTCACCCATGTGCAGCTCATTTACCACTTGGTTATTATCACTTCACTGTTCCACGACATCCGCGACCACGAAGGCCCTTCGCGACCACAAAGGCCCTCCGCGGCGTCCGCAACCACAAAGGCCCGCCGCGCCCACGAAGGCCCGCCGCGCCCACGAAGGCCCGCCGCGCCGTCCGCGCCCACAAAGGCCCGCCGCGACGTCCGCGCCCACAAAGGCCCGCCGCGACGTCCGCGCCCACAAAGGCTCTCCGCGGCCACGAAGGC